GTATTTCGTTATTGAATTATTGATTGTTGTTTTATTCAATGCATAAATAGGACTAGTGGCGTTTTGAGGGGGTGGCCCATTGGGCTATGATCCCGTCCCCCTTCCTCAGGCATGATGTGAAATTTAAGCCCTCTAAATGCTCAAAATTCATCTCAGGCCGTCTGAAATTCGTTGGCTTCCAAATCCACCCCCCTCCCAGGCATTTATAGATACGACCTTGTTTGTGACATATGCTTTAATAATGAAATTTAAATTAATTATGTGTCATAGATAATATCTAATATATGAATACATCTTTAATACAATTTATTTCGCCCTCGGATTCATATTCAGTTCGTTAACTGTGATATCTGTGTAGGTTTGATTCTGTGGCACGAGGTGACGTATACAATGAAAAATGAACTCTGATATTGTCAGTATTATTTTCTGCAGCCATGGTGCATGTGGAATATATCAGCAGTACTTTTCCAGTTCCAATTTTTCTATAATGAAGTTCCAAAGGTCCATTTTAATTCTTCCGGTCCAATCCGATTAACAGGAAAATTGTTGTTCATCTTTTGATCTTGTTTAAATCTATTGTTTATCTGTTGTCTCGAATATCATGCCATTTTCTTATCAATTCCATCTCAACTAAAGCGTAGGAGCTGGTAACTCGAAGCTACTAAGTCCACCATAAGTTGTGTGTTATTTTACATTTTTAAATGTTTCTTAATGGAATTTAAAAACTAATCCGATAATAGAAAAGAATACATGATATTTGCCGGGCTGCCGTGAAAGCAGGATTAAAGGGGTTCAATAACGGACAAGGTCATCGAAATATAAAAATGAAGTTATACGTCTTATTGTTCTGTGTCTTATTGTTCTGTGTCTTATTGAGCAAATTGTAAAACGTTGTGTACCTTCTTGGGCTACTGAAATGAAGATTGTTATGTACCTGCAAACTCAAAATAATTATGTCTTACTTTTTTGAGTCTTTGTGCTAATATGAGTTATATGTCTTAATGGTACCTTATTTGGTGTACCAGTGTCGTGTCCCTGATTGGAGCAATTCAAATGTTTTTTTACCAGTGGAGTTTTTAGGAAACATCAGGTGAGGGGACCGAGCTGGGGCCACAAAGTTTTCCAGGGAGGCCACAGGCCATTCTTTCACTATGTAAAATGATCAAACATTTGATAGTGGGCTATGCCTTATCGGACTTAAGTTAATATCTAAATTTATTTAAGATGTTGTTTCTATATAAAATATACAATGCACTCACTAGCTTATTTGTACCTCATAAAGAAGATAATACAAAACTTATAGACGTAATTTTACTCCACATTTTCCTCCCGGATTTTGTCAGTTGTGAGAATTATTATTTATGATGTAACAAAAGTATCTCCAATGATATATTACAAAATCTTCCTTTAAGTACAGACCATGCTCGAGGCATTAAGTAAGTCTCTTATACAGAGTTGTCTTTCCTTGCAGCCCCTTTCACTCTCTTTGAACGTCTCGACGTTACAAAATTATTTTTTGTTTATTCCAGATTTTGGTTTTAAGTCGTATTTTTTGTGTGCATATATATCAAATGGAATCCCATGGAATCCCATGGAATCCCAACATTTTGTTGGTTGCATGATTATGTGTTTTGGCATGAGACATGAGACATGAACAAAGGTTAAGAGAGAATACTGGCAAAGAGTTTTTCGAATGGATGTCGGTTTTGAGGGGATGTCGGTTTAGGTGGGAATGTCGGGTTAAGGATGTCGGTTTAGGTGGGAATGTCGGGTTTAGGTGGGAATGCCGGGTTAAGGTGAGAATGTCGGGTTTAGGTGGGAATGTCGGGTTTAGGTGGGAATGCCGGGTTAAGGTGGGAATGTCGGGTTTAGGTGGGAATGCCGGGTTTAGGTGGGAATGCCGGGTTAAGGTGGGAATGTCGGGTTTAGGTGGGAATGTCGGGTTTAGGTGGGAATGTCGGGTTAAGGATGTCGGTTTTGAGAGGATGTCGGTTTAGGTGGGAATGTCGGCTTAAGGATGTCGGTTTCAATACTGGTGTCGGTTCGGAAGGAATGTCAGCTTAAAGGGGTGTAGGATTGGTCCGAAAAGTATGTCCCATTTAGATAAAGATTAGATTTTATTGCATATACGCCCATAATGAGCAGCATACAAATTTATCAGTACAATTATTTGCAAGAGATATATAATGAAATGCAGATATATGAAAAATAACATATTGACAAAGTATGATGCAAAATATAACGTAACGTTATTAAATTTCATTAGATCATTATGGTGTTACTTATACCTTGAACGGAATAAAGTCCATTGAATATCTATTTGACCTTGTAAGAACTAGATACTGTATAGTGTATATCAGCAATACAAATAATAATATGTATTTTGCTGAACAGTATATTTAGAATGTCTGGTGAACCGGAACTAATGTTTATTACGGTTACTATAAACACCATGACGTACTCTTACTGGCCTTGACTTATACACTAGGCTACTTACTGCCATACTCTGTAATTTCACGTCTCTTTTTACATCTGAATTGCGAATGGAGCTGTCACATTGAATACAATCGTGTCTTCTTGGTTGGTCGCTGTTTTGTTTCTTATAAAATGAAGTTTTTGTATCTTGTGCAGATTTTATCACCTTAACTTGAATCTTGGTTTTTGCATCTTTGATAGGTTTTATCACCTCGAATTATTATTATTGGCCTTGACTTACATTACCTTTCAATTTCTTCTCTCGTTGATTGAATGGTTCACTAAGAAAAGTTGAATATAAATTGATAAAATTTAAATATCATTAAATAACACTAGTTGCAATAGATAGCAATATATTAGTTAAAGGCGTTGTTGGTCGTCTTGACTACACTATGCAATGATTCTTGCATGTGGAATGGATAGTGTCACAACGGAACATAAATAAATAAATAAACCAAGAATCCTACTGATGATCGATCTGAACCGCAAAACGAAACCCGAAATCAGAATATTGGCGAAACATTAGTAGTAGCTAATGGACTTTTCATGAGGAAGTATGTCAATCATAAGTAAGTCAGTATTTCATAATGAAAGCTGTATCAGGTTTTTAAAAGAGTAAGCATACCCCACCTGGAACCACATCCGCCATTACTGCTCGGATTATTTGAATTAACAAAAATTGATATTAAAAGGATTTCAAAACGGAGTAAAGTCACCAACAAGGTCAGTCTGGACAATCGAAACCAAATCTTTCTTTGATCATTCATTAGTTCAGAACGGAAACCATGACTTCAATTTTAGAAATTATATTTAGATAAATATCATATAAGATTAGAAATCTTTCATTATTGATTCCTAATTTCTTTTATAGAGATTTAATTGTGTAGATCGATTCGAATCTTTATTAGTTACGTCGAACAGATACGGGTCGTGGTTTCTAATTTCGGTTAGCGGGTCGTGGTTTCTAATTTCGGTTAGCGGGTAGTGGTTTCTAATTTCGGTTAGCGTATGATAGTTTGGTTACCTTGAAAAATACTTCTTTCCCATTCGAGCCGATACAGCTGTAAATGGGTACAGCTAACCAGGGAAAGGGTTAGGGTTATGTAATACCAACACCAATGAGGGATTAGACAAATTGGTAACAAGATCCTTGTGAATCTAAGGTGAAAGTTCTTGTGCTAAGCGGTTGTTCCCGTCTCTCTTTTATTCTTTCAAATTATTTTAAACTGTCTTACTTTAATTTTTTGCATTTTATATGACAATAACTTTCTCTGTCATGGATGTCAAGTCTGTCGCACAAGTGAAGCAGAAGTGAACCGTTGACAATTGATAAGTGTCGGTTTTTTACAAACCTTTTTATTCGTTTTTTAAAAACAAAACTTCCGAGTTTTTAGTGACACAAGTGAATGTTTCACGAACATACTTTTCGAGTTCGTTGACTATTTAAAGAAATTTTTATTGTAAAAGGGTTGATTGATGTCTTTAAAATCGTAATAGACGAAAGCGACGTATCTAAAAACATGGTGACATGAAAACAGAAAAATATTCCAAATCAACCCTCGAGCAAGTTACATAAGTTATTTTCTACCCCTCTCTTTTCTCCAAAATACACATACCCATCCTAAAATATTATATTTTTGTGTCATTATAGTTTTTACAGTTTTTGTGAATTGGGATTGTTTTGTTGGGTACTGTTTTAAGGCGTCACAGGTTCACGTGTGCACATGAACTAAGCATGTAATCTGTACACGAAGTATCCATGCTGTTTTACAATTTATATTGATATTTATTATCAAAGTTAGTCGGCATATTACAAACTATGGATACATTTGTATACTAACTTTATATTAGTTAGTAATTTTCCATTTTATTTTTGAAAACAAAACACATTTCGTCACTGTACAACATCGGAAGCTTATATAACTTTGTGTTTTGGAACTACGTAGTGCAGGTGTTTCAAAAAGTTTTGGTTTTTTAAATTTTTATGTATAGATTTATTATTTTTGATTTCTATTTAATTTGCATCCTAATATGATTTAAACAGTTAGGTCATAGGATTCCTTTTTTTGTTTTTTATTCATTATTACTAGTTAGTCGTCTATATTAAAATAGATAGTAAAGTAGGACGTAACACTCCATGCATTTCATTTCATTCACATAGATGGTAAAAAACGTGCCGATATCAGGGTTTCAGGATTTTCGGTAATCGGTTACAGGGGTTCCACTGTACTTATGTCTCTTTTTTCTGTCGTTTCAGATATGGTTCGTACCTGACCCCCCGTCAACTATATGAGTTGGGGGCTATGATGTTAACGGAAGGAGAACCCCAAGTTAAGCTACCTCGTTTAAACAATACCTCACATAATACAAATCAGATCGATATTCAATCAGTGGCCAGAATGACTGACCAGTCGGTTCGCCAGTATCTCAGTATGCACTTAGCTGAGGCGAATGCGGCAGAAACCTCGGAAGCAAGTGCTCAGAATGTTGCGTCATCTACGACCGACGGACGACCTTGTATACCAAGCAGAAAGCAGCGGGAATTTATAAATGATACATATAAAGACGAACATTATTGGGAAAAGCGTCGTAAGAATAACGACGCTGCGAGACGTTCACGTGAAAAACGACGTTACCATGACATGGTGTTAGAAAATCGGATTTGTGACCTCAGCAAAGAGAATAGCGACCTTCGCAGCGAGCTTTCTGCCATAAAAAGAAAATTTAATCTACCTCTTGATCAACAATTTACGGATGAATCGCCCAGCTCTTCGGGACAAGTTCCCATACCAGCTACATCACCTGGTCTCAATTACAGATCGGATCCTACATCGTTATTATCATCTAAACCACAAATACAGACATCAAGTCGTTCTGTCGCTTACTCCTCACCACCGCCATTGCTAGCAGTGGGTGGAGCATTGCCATTACAACCATCTCAAACAGTATACCCATCAAACGGCGCTCAATATCCATACTACCTCAACATGCCAACCTCAGACACATCCAGGGGCGTCATCACTCACGAATCGAACGGGTCCAACAGCTCAAGTCACACATCCATGAGAATTAATTATCAATCAGCCTATAAAGAATTAACTATTAAGGAAGAACAAGACGACAGTAAGTCGCCGCCGCCATTATCCATCGCTCTTGATTCTGCCGAGGTCAAACCTCCCGTCACCACCCAATCATACGATTATTATCATCACCATGGCAACCAGGGATACTCTAGCGACAGTTGGCAAGGATCTCCTAGCAACAGCAACAGTTATGGGTCGGATGAAACTTCGGAGCAACCATTGCAGCTAACTGTCCGAAAAGACGCAGACAGTGGTGATCCAGCTGATAAAAAAGAATCAAAAAGTCCACAAGCGTCGTCATTTCCGCTAAAATTACGTCATAAACTACCACCACAAGATTATTATTCACCAATCGAGTCATCTTCTACCTTTCCGCCACGACCTTACGTCAATGGCCTTGCTCAGCTGTCCGAAATTGCCTTAGCCCAAGCCAACCCCCTACCTCTGGTAAAGAAAAGTCCGCATCTTCCACATCAATCGATGCTGGGCTTTTCCCCTGGTCAAAGAGGCTCGGTGGATAAACCAATCAATCCCAAATACATTGATCCAAAATACGTAGAAAGAAGACGCAGAAACAACGAAGCGGCGCGAAAATGCCGTGAAAACCGTAAGTATGTTACTAATATGCGCGAAGCCAAATCTGACTACCTTCAACAAGAGAATGGGAAGCTGAGGGAAGAATTGGACAGTCTTCAAGAAGAGATGAAGCAGCTCCGGGAATTGATGGAAAAGAAGAGACTAGAGCAGGGACTGACAGAGCAGGAAATGGACGAGAAAATGAAGGAAGGTATACCGTTTGAGCAGACTGAAGAGAGCATGGCGGAACAGAGACGTTATCATGAAATTGAGAAGAAGTTAGCTGAACACGTTGACGCAATGAACGAGAAGAACGCTGAGGATGAAGAGCTTTATATGGACGAATCAATTGATGATGAGGAGGCGATACAAGAAAGACGAGAAAGTACCGAGGACGTCAACAGTTCAAGCTCGTGATCAGGATATCAATTGTCTTTTTATTATCAGACAATTTAGAAGAATCGAAATCAGAGGTGCTATGTTTTATGTTTTTAAAAAGTGCTTAAGTCATAATGACAATTTGAAAAATATTACGTCTTAATTACGCTTATCATGATTACGTCATAACTACGCTTATCATGATTACGTCATAGTGACATGGTTACGTCATATAATTCATAATGACATCATCAATATTTCATGACGTAATGGTTAAATGTTATTGAACTTAACAACAGTGTGTTGGATTTTAACAAAAGGGACTTAAATGGCCCACTTGTATTCATGATGAACTTTGTGACATTCATTCATTGTTTTTGATGAGAATATCTTATTGTTGCTGACTTTCTGTGTTTAAAAGAATTGTGTGTAAGGTGTTTTTGTCATGAACTGTACGGGTTTACTTGATTTTCTGGCCAGTAATTTTGTTTAGAAATATATCTCATGTTTTCAATGAATACTCGACCTTGTCGAATTGATTTCCATGTATTTTCGCTTCATTTTTAAATTACAAATGTGTCCGGAGGGAAATTAGTGCGTCAGACACGAATAAACGTCATGCAATCATACGAACTTACTGGCAGCTGACTGAACGATAACAACATCGGAGACATTGAGAAAAAATCAGACCTATTGTTACTTTAGTTGAATTCGTACAAATTGAAGAATTATTATTATATTTATTAATGGAGGGAATATATTATAAAGAGTTAAATTGATCCAGGGTGTTATCGACTCAGGATCCTCATTTCATGTTTTATCAAATAACGGGTAACCACAAATATTGTTCTCCCTTGTTGGGTACTATCTCTCAAACACAAAACGAAATAATGTTCAAATTTGAATCAAAAACTAAAGATGATGTTCTTGCAAGTGAATTTCATTTTGACTTACGACAAAATATAGAAAAAAAAACTCAGGCAAGAGTATTTGTACTGTTTTGTAGAATACATCGGATATCACGAACCTTCGTTTAAGATAGAAAGAGATAGTACCATCAGATTATATTAAAAACTGCAGGGAAACAATGTGTTATGTATATAGAAGAAATGTAATATTTTATACAAATTATTCCTTAAGAGATAGTTCTCAGGTAGTAATTCAAAATATTCTGACGAAAAAGGCACAAACTCCTTATCTGCGACATTCTTCAGTGCAGTTTGGTCATTGTTCGTCTGAGTATTTTGGATTATGTTAACGTATAATATTTATAACCTTTTAAATTTGTGACATTTGTAAGTTGTTTTTTTCTTTTGTTGCTTTTTAGACACTTATTGCTAATCTTCGGTGCGATAGTCATAATTTTCAAAAACTTCTCATAAATCACTTAAGGTATTAAAATTGGTATTTCATGTGCAAAACATGAGAAATTTGATCCATTTTTTTCGAAAAATGACGCATGGTAATACCAGGAAATACGTTTGATTGGTCAATTAAATTCAAATTAGATTTGAAATTTTTATTGAACCAATCAACTGTGATTAGAGAAAAAGTTTAAAATTAAAAGTTTAGGGAAAAAGGGGGATGTAAACAATATATGTTTTTTTTCTGATTCACTATTTTAGTCTTAGTTTTTATTATCGTATTATTCTTTGTAAAGCACTTGCTTATAGTTCACCAGAGGCCAATATGACTGCCATGTAAGGTCAAGGTCATTCTGGAAGATTTCTATTTTTATGCTTATACATCTTGGAACATCCAAAGACGCGCCATTACTTCAATTTAAAAATTATCATTTAAATAGACGCGTGATTCGGTAATTTGTAATGGTATAAATCTTCTTGGATGAACAGGACAACTTGGCATTGCGAATCTAAACAGACGCTGCAGATATGACAGTACTAAGACTACTTATTGTGTTTGTGAATGTGTGCCATTTCGTATCTTGACATCTACACATATTACATATAACTCTAATATCTTTTAGCTTTATTTTATACAGCAAATTCATCTATATTTATATCTATCGTTAAGAAATAATGATGCACGGTCGTTCTTTGTAGATTAAAACTTCAATTCACAGAAATAAGGTCAGGTCGAATTATCGCACAAAATCGGTGAATGGGCTCGGATTAATATTGGTGATCACTTTTGGCTTTTTTATCATGGTCATTTTAAACGATTCTTACAAAATTCAGTTGAAATATGATAGTGTACTTAATGTTTTTCTCATTTGACACTCAATGGTCAATCTCCATAGTAACCGATTTTAATAAATATTTAAGATCGTCAGAAAGCAATGTTGTGGCATTTCAACAACAAATCAAATTTCTAGCAAGAAATAATCCAATTTGTTAGTTTAGATCTAAAATTACTATTATATATCATAGTATATCTAATGGTTAACTACCGTAAAAACATCCATCAAGGGAGTTAATCCGTCATAAATAAAGGGAGGTAATTATAGGTGATAACGAAATTAAAGTGAAAGTAATGATTGTAATTTTTCAAGTTTATAAAGGTCATGTTAGGATTGTACTGATTGAAAAATTAAGATTTATGTTCGAGATATATTTCTTCAGATTGGTTTGAGGTAATTTAAACATTTGTTAAGTTATTTTCATAAATGCTAGGCGTGATATAGGTTTTACGTGAGTAACTGAGCAATTTTGGAGGTCTTATTTCAAAAATTGCTTTAGCAAATCACAAATAAGTTATCTCTCTGTTCTTTAGACCGTTATTTTTCATAAAGTGCTTTTTTGTTACCTTTCCATTTTGAGCTAAAATCGTTATGTGCGTCTATCTAAGTGCTTTAGACCAGTTGATTTAAGGATCTATCAATAGTGTCATTTAATGGTTACGACATTTTGTTTTAATGAGCAAAGATTATTTTTGTTAGAGGTTGGCAAACTATCGTGCTTTTAAACTCTTTAATTCTACTAGATTATAGTGCTAATTGTAAATATGTTCCTATTATCATATATATCATGTCTTTAGAAACAGATGCCCGTCAACAGCCGTTGTTGTCGAGCATCTTGCATCGCTTTACAACTATACACTCTTTATAGAATAATTGGTGTTCTATAAATTTAAGCAGGTTTATCTCATTTCACATTATTTTCTCTGAACTAGATGCGACCAAACCGAAAGGACGAACTACAATGTTCGCCTAAATCTGGAAAACTGGTTACTTAACTAGGCTACCTCACAAAAGTTCAAATTAACTTTCAAAATCTAACCTTAATCATCTTTCTTGAAATTCAGTGAATTATTGCATAGGAACGTTTTTATTGTTTTGCGTTTAATGACGTCATGGTTGTTAAAATGCACGTGCACTTTGTTAATATATGTCACACTTGTAATTTGTTTTCTGTTTGACCTTGTATCGTCAAGGTCACCTGGCTATTTGGTGCAAACAATTGCCTTCGTTTCTGTTGTCCTTTTTATCATTTGATGGACGTAGTGCTTGTTTCCTTTGGTTCGGATTTTTAATTTTTGTAGAAAATTGTTCGTTAATGACATACATTTTGTTAAAAATCTGTTTTATACAGGATAATTTTAGAGCAACTTTTGTTATCTGCACAACTTCCTTGTTTCACTGTTATTTATAGGGAATTGGAGGTGAAATTGTGCTTTCATTTCTCTAAATTCTTTTTTTTTTTCAATAATAAGATTTGTGTATAACAATATAAATT